TCTAGCCGGCCTACGCCGCCTGGTACCTCTACTACTCAAGCTAGATTGTGACGAAGACTAAGTAACTCCTAAGTTAATAGTCACTCAAACTTAGTATGGAGCCTAAAAGGTATGAGTCGTCCACTTGTTTTTAATAAACAAGGGCTCTCAACCAATACTCTAGCTAGGTTATCAAATTACGAGTTAAAAGCCAACATTGGCAATAAAGGGAAACAACCGGCACCCGCCGCTTGTTATCCTACTTAATTCCTTGTTAACTAGGAAATACTATTTACTTGGTCAGACAAATTGAATAAATAGTTCGAATACCGATTGAATAAATGGCCGACTGATCATCTACCCTGGAAACAGACCACCAGTCGTCCAGGGGCATAGGCGGCATACTATTGGTACCTGTCTTAACGTTCGGCCATACACAACAGTCGGTCTAGTGAACAAATTAAAAATACTTAGACAAATTTGAACCAAAACAAAAATTTGATTAAAAATGAGCCGGCCATAAAAGACCAGCAGAATATTCAAAACCCCGGCCCCCTGGCCGGGTAATTACAAATCAAACGGCACGCAGGCCGTGAAAAAAAATATTTAAAGCTTAAGAAGGGGGCAGTTCAGTATCAGCAGCTGCCGCCTGGTCAGCACTCTTCTTGCTGGACTCGGCCTTAGCTGCACCCTCTTTTGATGCCTTACCCCCAAGTGGCACAAGCGCCACAACCGGCTCTTCCTCCTCCAACGCACCGTCCAACGCCTCTTCTTCAGCAGCCGCCAGGATCTGTTGATTATATGTTTCCGAACACTGGCGGTACGTTCTTTCCCATGAGGCAAAGTCGGCACTGGGGAACAGTCGTTCCCAGGTCATGCGTTGGATTTGAGCGGAGTCTTCCACCATCTCCCGGACGAGCTCTTGTTTCTCTTGCTCGGCCTTATCCGAGAGCTCTTGGGTAAGACTCTTCTCTTGGTTCACCAGGCGTTCTTTTACGTTGGCCAAAGATTTCTCCATGGCTTCGTAAGAGTGCATTTTTTGGCGAAGAGGTTTCAGCTCGGCCTTAAGGTTGGTGACGGTCCCCTCCAGCTCGTCAACCTTCTTTTGGGCCGCCTCTAACTGAGCCCGAACAGCGGCGGTAGCCTGCGCCTGATAATAAAGAAGATCAATGGTCAGTACTTCATTTTGGGCAATTTGAAACATTGCCTTATCACAGCTGGAGGCGGCCATAGCCTTTGCGGCCTTTACCTCTTTGTTTTTCCGATCAATCGGCTTGCGAAGGCTGTTGACTCGGAGCAGGGCCTAAGTACAAAGAAAAACAGGCGTCAATTTCCAAACAAAAAAGTTAACAGGCGTCCTGGAACTCAAAAGCTCAAAAAAAATGCTAAGTATACCTCAGCAAGGACCCCTGAAATCCCATCAAGGTCAAGGGTGCCGGCACCCCTGACCGCCTCCCTGTCAGATGGAGGAAATACTTTAACCATAGACTTGGCTACCTCAACCAAGTCAAGCCCCTGGGGGCCGGCTGCATTAAGTGAAAGGAAAAAACAAGTTAGACCTAGTCAAAAAGGAAGCAAGGGTGAGTTTTTACAAGTTAGTGTCCATACATCTAGGCGGCCCCGCCTGGGTTTTTGAAGAAGTGGCCGGCTGCTTCTCAGCCGCCACTGTTTTCCTGGAAGACCCAGGAGAGCTTGCAACAGTCGTCCTCCGGGCCTTGGGGTCCGGCTGTTGCGAGGAAGAAGCCCTTGGAGTGCCAGACTGAAAACAAAAAGAGTTAGTATATGCATAAGACAACTAAAAGAGGAAGAGTTTTTCGAAGCTTACCAAGGGTGCCTCCTTGTTGGGGGAGTCGGCATACGACTGTTTCATGAGCGAGGCCCGCAACATGGCCGCCGCTGTCTTGGATGCTGATATTTTACTCATGGCGTCAGCTGCAAGAAATAAACAGCAAAGTTAGTAAAAATCCCAAGTTAACAAGGCGTGAAAAAACAGAGTATTTGTCAGGCCGGCTACCTCTAGAGCACCGACTGCCGAGGCCACAGGCGGCCAAAAAGTACTCGTCATAGAGCCACTTGAAGCTCGGGACGCAGTTTAGGGGTACTTGCTCTCGTACCCCTGAAGTAGAGTTCACCCTAGTCTCTACTTTGAAGAGTCCTTTGTCTAGGATCTCTTTTTTAGCCTTTGGGGGAACAGGCGGCATGCTGCGGCCGCCTGCGAGAAGAGGCGGATCCCTATTCCACTTGTTAAAGCGTTTGTTCAGCTCCGTGTCTGAACCCTCAATGATAAGGAAGGTGTTCCGCCAATCCTTCCATTTGTTCGCCTTACCTCTCGTCATGAGGTAACCCCTATGGCTTGTTAATTGGTACCAGCCGGTACCTCCCGACTTAGGGGTCCGGCTGAGATAGTTCATGTGGGCGAAAGCCTCAAAGCTTGGCTCCACCCCGTACATTTCGCACCCGGCCACATAGCCGAGTACGTTTACCCAAGAGTTGGGGGCTAACTGCCATAACCCCAGATCATACCCATCTAAAATCCGCTGAACAGCCGGATGTAATGGGAAGCGCAGTCCAGCTTTGATGGCCGCCACATAGCAGCCAAAGCAGCCGTCACCATAGCTGGTACCAGCCGGCCAGACGACAGTGTCTTCTGGATCCGGCACGAACAGTAAAAATTCCGGGCCCATTTTGTGGTTAGCAATAAAGCTCGCCACGTTGTCTTGCATGGTTGCAATCCGGCCCCGGGGTACCCTGCAGTAGTAGGGGGGCGTTTTCCTCTCTGTAAGAGGCGGACGGCTCCGCCCAATTGTCCCCCTTCTCAACTGCATGAGAAAGTCTCGCCTCTTGTAGGCGGCTATGTTTTTCTTCTGAGCCTGGAGAACTGTGGCCAGAAGAGCTGGACTCGGACTCGTCCTCTGACGAGTCCGAAGAGGACGACTCCTCCCCTCTCCTAGAGGGGCCCGCCTCCTCTCCCTTAGAAGGAGCAGGAGGAAAATTAGACATGTCAACAGTAAGATGGGAAGGGAACACCTTGGCCCCTCTCTCAGAACTGTCGGCTTGACAGTCGCCTCGTTTCAATTCTACATCTGGCGCCTGGTCAGATGTTTCACTAAGGAGCACCCTTTGGGAGGAGCCGTCTGAGTTTGATATCATAGCAGTCTGTTTCGTTCTGGCCATCACGTTCTGCATAGACACAGATACAGTCGGACTTTGTATAAAGGGCAAAGATGGGTCCAGAAAAGGGCAGGCGGCACTCCTAGTCCTAGATTCAGCCGTCCCCGGTGACCGGCTGATCACTAACTTAGGTCGTGTCGTGTGCTTCCATGGTGCCATTTCAAAAAATAAAAAGAAAATTAAGAGTAAGAGAACTGAGTTACCTGAACGAGTGACGGTTGATGAAGTCCTGGAAGTTCGGGTCAGTCGGCTTGTCAGAACAGGCGGTAGGCAGAAAAGGTCCGAAATGTCAGAGCAAGTTCAGGGGTCCGAATGTTCTCGCAAAGTTCTCAAATGTGAAAATGACCGAAGTCAGCACTTCCTTATATAGGCAAAGTGAGAAGGCGAAAGGTCGCTTCCAAATTCAAAATTTGGGCGGGAAAATCTCTCGGCCGTTTGCAAGGTGACACCTGTAACAGGCCGTCGCCTGTCACCGTGCGACACCTGTCACAGGCGACACGTGACCAGTCACGTGCCACCTGTGAGGGGCAAATGATTAGGGGATTTTTATCCACCAATCACCGTCTGACAAGTGGACCAACCAGGTTCCGCCACGTGTCCTTCACGAGGGCCAACAGGAGCCTGCCACGTGTCAATCATAGATACGTCCTCTACGGACCAATTTAGACACGCCACGTGTCCACCCATGCCAAATGGGAAAACCGGCCATCAAGGCCCAATCCAGTCTAGAGGCCCGATCAGCCCTAGGTTTACCTTAAACCTAGAGAGTGGCACGCTTCTCGAGGCTATAAATACTTAATTAATCCTCATTAATTGGGTGAGTGAAAAAAGTAATCAAGCAGAGAAGAACAGAAATATTACGGAACACCAGCAACCGGCTAATCTCGCTAACGACGCAGATTACCAACACTAAGCACTCTCACCTAGAGAGATCTCATTACTTTATTTTCTGTATTAATTACTCCTTAATCAGGTACTAACTTGACCGTTGGAGGCGGAGCTCTCAGGAGTCTCCGTTATTTTGCAGGTACAGGCGTCCGGTTCCAGTCTCGGAATTGTAACTCTCCCGCAGGACATCAGAAAACCCCGAAACAGATGGAGGTGGATGAAGCATCACCCGACCTACCTCGATCTATGGCCATCTCTACAGGAAACCAAATACTGGTAAGTAATTAAGTAAATAACTAAGGCCTTGTTTGGTAGTAAGCTTATTGGGGGTAGATTAGCTTATTTGACTAACTTTAGCTGATTGACTAGCAAGCTAATACAAGTGTTTTGTAGTAAGCTTATTGAAAGAGCTTATTCCACTAGATAAGCTCTTTTTGAAAAAGCTCATTTTATGAGCTTTTTCAATTAGCTTATTCATTAATTATTGTGAAATGACACTTATTACCTCATTTAATTTAAAATCCTATCTAAACTACTTACCCCACAATTAGCTTATTGGTCATTTCACATATTCAATCACCTTTAAGCTATCAGCTATTTACCAAACACTTTTATAAAATCAGTTAATACAATAAGTTAGTGAAATCAGTTAATTAAATCAGCTAGTCAAAATCAGCTAACTCAATCCGCTTCAGCTTTCAACTTTCTCCCAAACAGGGCCTAAATGAAAAAAAAAGGTGTAATCTCCTACAGTCCTACTCAAGTCATCACATCAACACCTCCTTAAATAAGCCAAACATATCGTGCATTCTACTTGGAGTAAATGATTACATTCCCAATAATTCCCATTTTTCACATAATCCCACTCTAATAAACTCATTTTTACACTTAGGTTGTTCTATTCAACTGATTTCACTGATCTAAGCTAATCTTAACTTATTTAAATTTACCTGAACTTATTTGACCTTATTAAAATTTATTTTAGTTGTAATTAAACATGATCTGAACTTATTACACCTGAAAATAAGTAAAAATAAGGTGAATAGAATAGACCCTTAATCACCAATAAATTCCAACTAATTAATTGTTAAAAAAAAAAATCCAATTAACTAATAACTCACCACTTTATCAAAAAAAAAAAAAAAAAAAAAACTCACCACCTTCAAAGTATTTTCAATTAACAAACATTCCTGAATTCGTCACTCCACCAGCAGCTGACAACACCAGCAACCGCCATTTCTCCACTTTCTCTCTCCTCATCCGCCATTGTTAGGGTTTCCGACCTTCAACCTCACTCCAATTCTCTCCCCTCCAATTCCCCCAAATTTCTAGGGTTTCATCAATGGATTTAATCGGCGACGCACTTCGCCAAGCTTTCATGCCGAAACACGAGTATCAAAATCTCAGAGACGAAGATAAAGCTTGGCTTAAGCTTCAACGACCGATTTGTGTGTCAATTGTGTGTATTATCTCTCTTGCGATTGTTGTTTCTACTGCTATTAGTTTGAAGATAGTGTTTCCTGGTGATTCTGGTAATCGCCCTTTTTGTTTTGATCTTCGTCTTCAACCTTTGCCGATTAATGCTACTACTTCTGGTGATTCTGATCCTCTTCCTGGAGCTTTTTATCTTACGGATCAAGAAACTGTTGATTATTATTATATGGTGTTGTTTCTTCCTTCGTCGATCTTGTTTTTGGCCTCCGTCCTTTATATTGTTGCAGGTTAGTCGGAACGTTTAATTACACCCATTGACGCGTGATTTTATCGTAATTTTATGAAATATTAAGTAGCATTTTTAGGAAATGTATTTAATGCTTAGTACTGATTTTTTCAAGCATTGTTGATGATATGTATGTGTAGAACAATTGAGGAGTACATTATGCTTTGATTGTGTTTATCGTTTGTGATTGTATGGTTATAATACTGAAGATTATTCAATTGAATCGTTCATTGAAATTTACTATATAGTTGTCTCATTTCCGACATTGGTAATTGTGATTTGAGAGGGTGGTAAAAAAGTTTAAGATTTTGCTCAAGTAAAGCAATGGCAGGATCTTCGTGTTGCAAATTGGTGGAATATTGCATTTGAAGTATACTAGGTTTGATTTGATTTTGGTTTGGTTTTTGAGATGTTAGGTACTTAGGTTTACTAGCTTAGCTTAGTTATGAAAGTTTGGAGTTCATGGCGGCTTGCTTTAAGGGAAGCAAAGATAGGATTATAGCTTTGAGTAATTGGTGGAAAATCGAATTTTGAAGTACAGAGGATTTTGTTTACTTAGGAGATTACTAGATTAGTGAGTATTCACATTCCGTATGTGACCCCTGCTTTGGTTTCTGTTGTGGATGGACTGATTTGCATTTTTCTCTTGTGATGTATTACATTAGCATCGTGTAATATATTGGCTAGGTCAGACTATACCTTTAAATCACACTTGAATTACCTATGTTGGAGATATACTAAATGTATAATTGTATACCTTCTCAAAATAATTTTTTCTATAAGGGTCTTCCTGCAGTTTTATTTGCTAATGGGCCTTTGACATTTTATTTCATTATATTTGATCACTCTAGTGTAGAAGGAATAGGGAGTGAATAAAGGCTGATAATATCCTATGTTACTCGGACTCGGGTACCCAGGTCCGACACGGGTACGTTTCCAAGTGTCCGACTCGACTACTTTGTGAATTTTTTTTATGATTTTCAACTGAAATGAAGTGTCCATGTGTCATACCCATGTCCGAGGGTCAAGGGTCCGACACGGGTACTTGAGGTAAAATGAAGAGTCCGAGTAACATAGATAATATCTAGTAGTAGAGTGTTTGAGAAACCATAGATTCAAAGATCCTATAGAATGCAGCCTGTTATGTCATTAACATTCTGAATTGAATTCGAAGGATGAGCTTATAATAAGTACTAATAAAGATTAGAGAGGGTATGTATATATTGACGCTCCAGTCTGCCAAAATTGAACTCTTGAGTGATCTCTTACAAAGTTTTGTGAGTATGTCGAAGTTAATAGGATTCGTTAATTGTTGTTCAAAGGGTAATATTGGTTGGGATTATTTGGGAAGGATTGAAGGAAGCATATGAACCTGGCATTAGGATAGCAAGATGCATAATAGAAGTGACATGCCAGTTGAGTGCTTCCTTTTTTTTATTCTATAAATTAAAGAAGAGAAGTTAATACTAAATAAAGTCTGAGGTCTGCTGGTTATAGAAGCTGAATTTTTTTAAGGAGGTTTGGGTATCATAATTATCAGCTCTGCTGATTGTTTAGGAGATGTAAACATGAACCATACCAGGCAAAACGTTTCTCATAGGCAACTGTATTAGTTTGTGATGGTTATAGTGTAGACTTATAGGGGTTTCGGGATGATCCTGAAGCTCTAGAATTTGGTCCTTGTTATTTACTCACATTTTGGTCCTCAGCTGATTCAGTAGGCCGAGATGAAAAAACAAGGGTTAAGGTTGCCTTGACCCTTGAGTTGAGAGTCCACCCTTTTAGTCCGTTGCAGATGATTGTAGGCTTGCTTTGGAAGAAGGAAATGAAATATGAATAACCGAGTAAGGAGTTTTGTTGGGTAATTAGTAATTACTCTTGTTTTTTATGAAAAGCAGAATATTAGGAAAAAAAGAAAGTAATCTTGAATGCTAAGCACATGGAATTGACATTTTTAATTGAAATGGAACTATGGGAGTATGAATTTTTAATTGACATAGCTTTTAAAAAGTGACAGGCTCATTTGGAAATGATTTAAAAATGCTTAAACTTTAACAGGAAAGAGGATTTCATGGTGGGTAAAATTCAGAAGTCAGTAGAGCTAGTGATTTTAGTAAGAAAAGTTGTGTTTTGTGATTTAATGTGGCTTGGTGTAGCTAAATCATTGGAAATGTCCTCTGAGATTATGTTTTGGGATGAGAAAACCCTGTTAGCTTTTTAGGAGGGTTAGGATGGTTTACTATTTCATTTTCTGTTTTCCTTGCAAAATCCTCTTTTGGAGTAGCTTTTGCAGTTTTGTTTGATCTTTAGTTTAGTTTTGAGAAAGAAGGTTTTGGGGCTACAAAGCATTGGAGATTGGATAATGGATTCTGGTTCTAGTTTACTGTGATTCAATTGCTTCTGTAAAAGCATTGTTTCATTCTATTTGTATATTAAAATAGTACGCTGCAAAAATGAAGCATGTTGGTTGACTCCCTTCTGCATACAATAACCCATTTATCTATTTGGTCCTTGAGTCCTTTACAATGTCTAACTTTTACAGTGGCACTTTAGTTATTTTGTATGCTTAGTGATTATTTTAAGCAAATATTAATGTTGTTATGGTCAACTGAAATCTTTTCATGTTGCTGGTTCATGGATGGAAGTGGGGGTTTTATATGGTGCCAACTCTGTTTGTGAAATGGCATATAGAACCAAGTTTCTGTACTGCATGAAGCCTTTGACTTGATTTTTCCTTTGTTTTGCAAAAGTATTAGTTCGTTGTACATCATGGCAAAGACTGCCTTGTAGACTTATTTGGTTTAAAAACTTTTTTCTTTCAGTATGCTGTAAGTCATCGAGGGATTGAATGATGAATCCATGAGAGCTGTGATTTTCTGTGAAAATAGTTTATAAAACCAATTATAATTTTCTAAGGAAGTGCAGATAAAATGCTTTATCTACCACAATGATTTGAGGTCATTTTTAGTTTTTTATTTAGGTATAATTCTCAAACTGTCTTCTGTATTTAAAGTTTAAATTCATCATCACTTCATTGCCATCTTTCTTTGGATTTCTTAGGTAATGTAACCCAATATTATTTTATTTTATTTTATTTTATTTTCTTAGTATAAATGGATGAAGGTCACACACATCCAAGTTATCCTACCAAACAAAACCCAGATTATTGTGAAAGATGGAAACTGGACTAAAGAGTTGTAAGGGGCCTTAGATTGCTATGAAATATGGAAAATGGACCGTTTAATCATCTCTTTCATTCTCGTGGTTGTATACTTGAGTAATCAATAAGTTTGACCTTTTACAAATTTGCACTTTTTCTCTCTGTTGAAACCATTTTCTGCTTCTGCCATTGATAATAAGGGGTATTTAGGGTTGCAATTTGGTGTTTAATCTAGTGTCCAGTTGTTGATTAATTTTGTTTATGGTGCAGGATTTATGGTTGCTTACTCTGCACCTCAGAGGCATTGGTGTTTGAAGGTGGTTGAGAACAACTATTGTGCTTCAAGGAGGGGTATGCTACTTTCTAGTTCTCTCTGATCATCTTATGTTTTATTTCTCCACAGTGATAAATTATTTTGTCTAAGGGGAATAACATTAGGAAATGGTTGTGGGCTGAAGGGGGGTTATTAATAAAGAGGTGAAAACCAGCTAAATTTCAAGTTATCCAGGTCTGCTGTAGTGTCCCTCTCCATTCTAAGCTCTCTTTCTATTTTCTGGTGGATGGGACTCAGCTAGTTTATACTCCCTAGTGTCAGTAACAAATGTCTGCTCACTAGGTTTGGAAGTTGCGCACTATAATTGTATTATTGTGAGAAAGCTCTCTGTTTCGAACCTATGTTGTGAGAATATTAATGTGGTATAAAGTAGTACTACACAGGTAGGTTTTAGATTTTAATGATAGATTCTGTGTTACCATTTAACAGTTGGACGATAATGTTACGCAAATTGAAATATGGTTTCTCATTGGTTCTGTTGGTTAAGAGTAAAAGTTTTCATTCTGTAATTTGTATCACTGATCAATCTTCAATATCCAGATGCTGTGTGAGTGGTTTTACCTACCTTACAAACAAAAATAGTTAATGTTAAGAAAATGCATTTCTTCATACACAAGAAAATGAACAAATGCTCATGTGATGGTCTAAGTATGTAGCCAAAGAGCTGGCTTTAATAGTTTCAAAAGACATCTGTTGCGAGTTCTAAAAAATATAATTAACGTTTACACTATGATTTGCAGGTGGAGTACGTTGTCTAGCCATCCTTAATATGGTGTTTGCCATCCTCTTTGGTCTTCTTGCACTTTTTCTGGGTTCTAGTCTTCTCACGTTGGGGAGTAGCTGTTCTGTGCCCTTGTTTTGGTGCTATGAGGTTGCCTCATGGGGACTTGTGATTTTATTCGGAGCCACTGCCATATTCCTGAGAAGGAAAGCTGCCACAATTCTGGATGAGGGCAACTTCTCTGGAAGAAATCTTGGATTGGAAATGTTGGAAGCAAATCCTTGGGAAGTCACACCAGACATTGAGAGACGTGTCAATGAAGGCTTTAAAACGTGGATGGGATCTTCCCTCTTATCCTCGGACGAAGAAGAAGAATCAGAGGAACATGAAGGAATGCCTCGTACTAGTATCAGTCAAAGCAGACAGAGATTATTGACATGACAACATTCTCAATTTCTTGGTATGGTTTCTGCCATCTTAGTTGAGGATTTCGGTGATGTAGGGATTATCTCTCTGCTCATAGACACAACAAATACTAATGGGCGCTGACACTTAGTTCCTCATGGATAAGTCCATTAAAGGTTGCCTCTGTTTATTTTGGACAGTCTCTTAAGTATGAAATCAACAAATAGCAGCGTCGAGGGTCTGTACGTAGGGGAGGCGCTGATAATCTGAATTTTGCTTCACTGACTTGTGAATTTTATCTAACTGTCAATCTTCTACATGAGGTTAATATGGTTTTGGTATGAGAAAGTTGTAAATTGCTCCTATAATTTTTCAATATTAATCACATATCCACATATACTAGTCAAAAGGAAAAATGATCACATATTGTGGTGATGTCTCTTTGATAAAAACTGTTGTAAAGCTTTGTAATCCTTCAATATGTTGAGGCCGCCCCAATTTTTCATTTTGAAAAACAAAATTCGTTTATAAAGGGTTTTACTAATGAACAGTGAAAATGTTGCATTTATTTACAACCTTGCTATTAAATAAAACATACAGTACTCCATATCTATTATATAATTTAAGAGTCGATTCAATGAGGTTGCAACAAATACTCAATCCTGCTTTCTAATTCAATCCCGCCTAAATCTAAATCCCTCCAACAAAATAAACTAATTTAAATTTAAAAAAAAAAACCAAAAAAAAAAAAAAAACTGCCTAATTACATGTGTGGCGTGTAGCAAGTAGCAGTTACCATGAAATGATTCATGATAAAACTGCAAAACTAATCCATTTACTGAATACATCTTCAGTTTTTTGGGATTTTATACTGTGATAAAATCAAAATAAATGATGGTAAGTTTCTTTATAATATTCTTTTCACCTCTTTCATAGTTTATAATTTCTTAAAATTTCCCCCATTTGCATATGCATACTATCATTCCTGTACTAAAATTACCTGTGTGACAATTGAAATTGGGCTCGCCATCAAATAAGTAGGGGTTCTTTTCCAGATTAGGCCGCCCCACCTTTATAATGCTTAGTTTACAGAACAACTTTTCTCAATCACCCACATCAACAGAAAATCCAAAGGTAACTTAGTAGAATGAAGTATAAAGTATGACACTTTGATATTTTATACAAGTATGTAGTATCTTTTATTTAAATGACGAGTTTATGATGTCTAATTACATAATTCTTAGTTTTACGTAAATTTACACAGATATTAGTATCTTAGTTAGCTTAAAAAGTTAAAAGTTTGAGATTAGTAGTTTTTGATACATTTGAATGCAACTCGGTAAGTTTCCTCCTATTTTATCGTCTTTTTCACCTTTATAGTTTTTAGTGCTGTTAATATTTATTTATGTATTGCTTTAATTTAATTTTTTTTTTTCTTCTGATTTTGCCAGTATAGAGGATTAGTATGAATTATGAATCTGTAGAACAGCCGAAGTCTATACAACCAATTTCCTAGATTAGATTAATGTCAATTTTTCACCTTATATTGGTTTTATTTTTATGCTCATCTATCTCTATTATATTGCATTTATGATCAGCATTATTATATTATTCATAATTTAACAGAGTGGTTTACAATCATTCTGAAGGAAGAAGCCAAGTGGACGATTTTTTTAAAAAATGTTTTTGCTTCATTGTAAAAATAGAGGACTACTTTCTAATTACTACTCCATATTATATGAACAATACAGTTAATAAGAATTCACAAAAATTATCATAATTTAACAATTGCAATCTAAGCAGAGTATTGAAAACTATTGTGATTAGATAAAAAAGAATTGAGTTTAGATAGATAGAACAAGATTAAAAAACTAAAAAAATGATATACAATACCATACAAATTTTACGGGTTATCAAACTAACTGAAAATTTTCTTTAAAAAAACCTCCCTATTATTTATAGCGTCACCCGCAGTCATTTTTGCAGCTCAATAAATTAAAAATGCTTACTTCAGGGTTGGGGATTTGTTGCAACCTCATTGAATGACTCTTAAATTATATTATAGATTCATAATAAAAAAAAAAATTAATTTTGATACATAAGGGTTATTGAAGTTCAAATTATAACAAAAATATGTCTATATACAAGTTAATAAAAACAAATAGATTCATGTTAAGATAAAATAGATAAAAATCAATACATGTATGTCTTTTGCAAATAGTTCACTTTTTTTTTTTCTTTTTTTTTTAATCCTATAATAAGTTTTAACCCGTGCAATAGCACGGGCGCATACTAGTTCTATTTATCAATAAGAGAAACTTTACATCCAATATGTCTTTCTAGCAAATACATTACTCCGAATTTTTTTTTTTTTTTAATTGTTAGGGTGTGACTCAACTTCATATTTCAGACCGTTACATCAAAATTTTATTAATTTCACCTACCGATTGTTATTATTCATCCCATAGTAAACCCCTAATAATTGTCTTAAAACAATCATGTGTTAGCTTAGAAGATTATTTTTTGATGTTTAGAGAGCCACAAGGGCGGGGGTGAGAATCGATCCCAAATCTCTTGGAATCGGGAGGGAAGCTCTAACCACTTGAGCTATCCCTCTCTCTCAGCTTAGAAGATTATAACTACACATTCTAGTGATAATACTACTTGGCAATGGATGATATCCTAATGCCAAAAGCTAATGAATGTTGGAGTTAGTTAAGATTACTAATAATGGAAATATTAAATTAAAATAGATGTTAACTACATTAATAAACACCTGATTTTGGTAAGAACATTGAAATCGATACCAACTTTAGAAATATATTAAACTAGATGAACCCCGTGCGATGCACGGTTTGTTTAAATTTTTTTTAAAAAAATTTATAAATATATTTATGTGATAAAATTTCTTATATATTTAAATAAAATTCCTGATATCAAAAGATAATATTTTATATTTAATTAATTTAAACTGGGAAACCTCATTCGTCAATTTTGCTTACCGTCATTTAAATTATTTAATTCTAAAAGAAATTAATAATCTCGTATTTAATTGGCTACTACTAAATTTTTTTATTTTACATGGCACGCTAAAAAAATTAAATCCTACATGGCTCTCTAAAAACTCGGGAAAAAACTCTCCTTTATATATATATATATACTTATGAAGCCCGTGCGATGCACAGTTTGTTAGTATTTTTAAAAAAAAAATATTTATGTGATTAAAATTGTTATTATATTAGTTTTAAAATATTAGATAAAATTCCTAACCTCAAAAGATAATATTTTGTACTTAATTAATTTAAACTTTTTGGGCGGGTTTGAGGTGGATTTGGGTGAAGCCGTTGCAATGCGGCAGTCACTTGTGATTTCTTTGGAGGCTGGGTACAGGAATTTCATCCTTGAAACTGATAATATTAAGTTATTCCACCATATGAAGAAGGGGATCACGCTTTCAACCGCCTTTGGGAATGTGATACGGGACATTTTTAGTCTTGTTTCTCAATGTGTTTTGTGTTCCTTTTCGTTTGTGAAAAGAAAGGGTAATTGTGTTGCTCATAGCTTAGCTAATCTTAGTAGTTCTTTTAGTGAGTTCAGAGTTTGGTTAGAAGAGTATCCCCCGGAAATTCATGGAGCGATTTGTAATGATCTCGAACTTTTGTTGACTTAATAATATGCTAAGCTACGGTTGTGTCAAAAAAAAAAAAATTAACTTTAAAATCTCATTCGCCAATTTTGCTTACGTGGCATTTGAATTATTTAATTGTAAAAGATATTAATAATCTCTTATTTAATTGGCTACCACTTAAATTTATAATCCTATATGGCGCGCTAAGAAAACTAAATCCTACGTGGCTCTCTAAAAACTTGGGGAAAAACTCCCCTTTATTTATATATATTAGATTGTAAGTCAATGTCCTGATGCAAATGTTAGCAAGATCTATTATATTTTTTTATATGTTAATTGACACTTCTTAGCACTTAGCTTATTATTTCATCACTATTTTTTTTTTTAAATTTTTTTTAGGAATTATTACAGTACTGTTTTTTTTTGAAAACCAGTACTATTTAGTTTTCCTTCGTTTTTTAATTTTCGATGTAAAATTCAATTAACTATGCGATAAAAAAAAAGCAATTTTTTTTATAATTTAAAACTACACATCTAAAAGAATTCAACATTTTTTTTATTTTTGAAAAGTAAAAGAATTCAACATGATTCCTCATTAATAATTCTTTTTCTTATAATTATCAAAAAAAAAAATCACAACTTTATTTTTTTTATTTTTTCCCACAAGTTGAGTGAAAGTAAATTAGGTAAGAATATTTCTTAACAAAAAAAAAGTAAGAACAAATCCTAAATAGAAATAAAGTGCAACCCGAATAACAACCCGGGTCATCCTCGCTCACACTCTTTTACTCCCACAATATCTCCTTATTCACTATCTTCTCCCAAAACCCTAAATTCTTCTTTCTTTCTCCTCTCTCTCTCCAACCTCCGCAACAATGGCGCCTTCTTACGACCACGACGACCATCACAGCAACGCGCCACCATCATCGAACCTCGACACCAGCGGCTACGACCCCAACCTCGTACCCGACTCCGTCAAATCCTTCGTTGTCCACCTTTACCGTCACATCCGCGAGAAGAACGTCTACGAAATCCACCAGATGTACGAAACCTCCTTCCACACTCTCAGTGATCGCCTTTTTAAGGACACTCCTTGGCCTTCTGTTGATGCCATTGCTCCTTTCGTCGATAACGATCATGTATTTTGCTTGTTGTATCGTGAGATGTGGTTCCGTCACTTGTACGCGCGGATGCAGCCGACGCTTAAGCAGCGGGTTGATAGCTGGGATAATTATTGTAGCCTTTTTCAGGTTGTGCTTCATGGGGTTGTTAATATGCAGTTGCCCAATCAGTGGTTGTGGGATATGGTTGATGAGTTTGTGTACCAGTTTCAGAGTTTTTGTCAGTATAGGGCTAAGATGAAGTCTAAGACTGAGCAGGAGATTGCTTTGCTTCGTCAAGCTGATCAGGTTTTTTCTTTTTTTGATTTTGTTGATTTTGTGTTTTTGTTTTAATTGTTTGGTATTTTGTTAATTGGAAATTTTATGTGTAATTGAGTGCGATTCGAGGGCGAATCAAGGTGGTTTTTAGAGAATTGAATTATATTAGCTAAAAGGTGATTTTACTGTTTTTTTGGTTGAGAATAGTTGTGTGGGTGTTCTGGTAATTGGGTGTGATTCGAGGTAAGTTAAGGTGGTTTTTTGAGAATTGGGTTATATTAGCTGGAACTTTATGGTAATTAGAGGTGGTTTTGGTCGAATGTGTTGAGGATATCTGAATTTAAGGGTTCAAGTTTGTTGGGTGTTTTTGTGTTGGGGTTGTTTGAGGATATTGGGATGGTAGGTGCAATGGTTTGCAGTTTTTGATGAGAGAACTTGTGTTGCTTTTGTGAGTATGTGGCATTCAGTGTAGTGGAGATGGCAGGTGTAATTCAGTTATTGTCCGGAATTTTGGATGTTCTTTGTTAAATTTATGAGTTAATAGCAGTTCTTGGTGCGGAAAAACAGATATGGGAGTACAATTATTGAGTTATATTTCGAAGAGGTGGTAGATTTTGAAAGAGAAATCAAGATATTTGACTCTGTTATCATATTAACAATAAACCTTTCAATCATAGAATATTTGGTTAGACTAAAGAGTTTTTCTGTATATTGGATGCATCAGTTTATATAGTAGCCTTCGTATGGGATATTATCTGTTTTTGTTTATTGGGGGTAGGGAGTTGTACTCTGTGATGCTTGGGACTTATCTTTGAATTTATAGTTGTATCTTTATTCATAGAAGTTAGGTAAGAAGGCTTTTGATTTTTGGATTGCTTGACGGTGGATAAGCTTTTAGAGCTTTGCTTGTAGTAGTAGAAAGTTTTTGTCAAAATACTGGTGATCCATCATGATAAGTGTTGAGATCATCTGAATGTAAGGGATTTTGGGTTTTCATTGTTTTTAATTAGGTGTTGCTTGAGGAGACTGAGATTGTGAATGTTATGTTTGTAGATCTCTTGCTACCCGGAAGTTCATCAGGCTGTATGTATAATAGAGAGCTCTTTTGTACATTGTTGACAAGGAGTGTCTACAATTTCTTGTTTTAAAAATGTTGAAGTTTTGGAAGTTTAGATTTTTAACTTACATAATGTTGTGCTTTTGGGCTGTTATTAAGTTTAATGTTGTGCTTGAGGATGGGGGATTTTGTTTTGTTGAAGTTGGAGTTTAATACTTAAATGTCAATGCTTTGAAACACCTAGAACTTGTAGGAATGTGATTATTCAGTGGATCGGCTGAGGTCTTGATATACATATATATCCTCTCATCATTTGCGATGCTTGGCTTGAATTTTTTCTGATGCTTTTGTATGTGTGAGGATTTCGGGTTCCTTTTGTGTTATCTTCTTTGCAGGTGTGCTATATATTCTAGAGTTTCTCTTTTCTGGTTGCTTGGGCATATACTTTTTGGCCTTGCTTTTGCATGTCTTCGAGGAGGATTGAGGTTTATTTTTTTCCTCCAATGTTTTGAGTAACTTTGCATCCAATTTCTTACATCTTTCTTTTTGGGTAACTTTGTTATTCAACTTTGGAAGAATTGACTTACAGCCTATGGATTTATTTATATCAAATTGATGGTCACCTTTCACGTAGACTTTGGAATCATATCAAATCGATGCTCTTACTTTACATACTGTCACAGGTCTGGTCTGTTTAGGTATCAATGAGAACTCTGGGGATGCTGTTAGTATCTTATTGTGAAGAAATTGATAGAAGTAGGACAGCTCTTGGAATTTCAAAATCCACATATAATAACTAACAAGGCCTTGCTCTGTTATGTTTTTGGGTTTACAACGTATTCTGTCTTTAGAGTATATCCTTGTTGTGCTAAGCACTACTTTGTGAAGTTGAGAAGGAACTGTGCTGTGGATTTGGGTCTTAAATATTTTTCTTTTTATTTTTTGGCGTCAGTTTATATGGTGGCTTGAAAGCTGTCATTTGGGTTATTTCTGTTTTTGTTTATTGGGGGTTAGGAAGCTGAATTTTGTGAAGTTTGGGACTTATCTGGGAATTGTTGATAATCTTATCCTTGTTAATCTAAGTGAGTGAAGGAAGCCTTTGAATTTTGGAATGCTTGACAGGGGTTGAGCTTTTAGAGTTCTGACATGTAATAGACCTAGTGATTGTTGAAATGTTGGCGATTTTTATTGGCTAGTGTTGAGTTTATTTGATTTAAGGGATTTGTGGTTTTTTATGTGCTTTTTTAGGGGTTGCTTGAGGAGACTGAGGTTGTGAATGTTATGTTTGGGTATTTTTTGCCACCAGGAAGTTCACCAGGCTGTATAGGTCTTATGGAGTTCGTTCTTTAGTGCATTGTTGATTTGGAGCGTCTACAATTTCTTGATATAATATGCTGAAGTTTTGGAAGTTTAGATTTTTAATTTACATAATGTTGTGCTTTTGGGCTCTCATAAAGTTTGATGAGTCTCTTAAGAGGCTATGGACTTGATAAGTTAAACATTTTTAGGATTTTTACAGTAGATGGTTTGTTAGAATTTAAATATTATGTAGAAGTCAAACATTCAGAATTGGAAACTATTATTGGAGGATGGGGGATTTTGTATTTTTGAAGTTGGGGACATGTGGCTTTCTGTCAATGCTTGAAACCTGGAACTAGTGGAAGTGAGGTTTTGCAGTAGACTGGCTGAGGAGACCTCAGTGTTTGAGAAGCTTGGGTGCTTGAATCTTCTTCTCTTGCTTTTGTAGGTGTGAGGAATTTGCGTTCCTTTCTATGTTTCCCTCTTTGCAGGGTGTGGTAAACTTTCAAGAATTTCTAGTAGTGTTCCTTTAGGACGGTTCCTTATGACAATTCATGTTAGCCTACCCCAAATTATTTTGAGACTAAGGTTTTGTTGTTGTTGTTGTTTCCTTTTCTGGTAGTGTGGGTATATATGTTGGTCTTTCTGCTGGATTTATTTGAGGAGGGTCGAGGTGTTTTTGCTTATTCAACATTTTGAGTTACTGTGGATCCAATGTCATACATCATTCTTTTTGGTCAGCTTCTAAAGGATTGACTCAAGACTTCGCAATTAAATTAATTTGATGGTTGCCTTCACGTAGGCTTGGAATTATATCATTTACTTTCTCACTTTATGTAGTGTTGGTCTATTAAGGTATCATTGTGAATTGGGGATTCGTTAATATCATAGTGAAGAAATTAATGGAAGTTGGGCATTTCTTGGAATTTCAAATTCGACTTATAACAACTAATAAGTCATTGCTCTTTGTTATGTTTTTAGTAGCAGAAATTCTGGTTTTACAACATATTTTGTCTTTACTCGTGAGAATTTTAGGGAATTTTTTATTTATTTATTGTGGTGGGCCCACTTATTGGATTAAGGTTTTGATTGATTGATTTGGTGGGGACCGGGGTGGGGGGGTGATTTGGGCTTATCTATTGTATGTTTGGTGGGAGGTTATCAGAGAGGGCATTGAGTTAGTAATCCTTTCCTGTCAAACATGCATAAAAATGATATTGTTTGGCACAAATATGTTTTTGGTCTACTTAGTATCAAACCCATTAGATTTTTCAGAAAAAAAAGTATCTTTATGTTTCTCTGAGTGAGTTTTACCAGTCCTGTGAGCTTAAATTCTAGTTGTCTTGTGAGGCCAGAATTATCATGCTGAATTGATGACTGATCCAGCAGTTGTTTAATGGGAAGTTACTCTGCTGCTTTAGGCAAGGACTTATTTTGAATGGTTCTGATCCAGCAGTTGTTTAATGGGAAGTTACTCTGCTGCTTTAGGCAAGGACTTATTTTGAATGGTTTTGGTGGTGATGGTTGAAGCTTGCCTTTGCATCTTCTGATTTTCTTGAGCTATCTATCCTTTTATGAGATTCTTCTATATTTCTTTTAGGTTGGGATTGCTATCCTTAATCCTTCAGCAAGTACTGTTGAGTATCCTTGTTGACTCAAAAGAAGCTATTATATGGAATTATGGATGCCTAGATACTAGCAATAATTGGAATTTGGGGGATAGCTTTCTCGCACACTTATTAGTTTCTAAATAGTTAATTCTAGATCTCCTGTTTTTCTGCTGTTTTACTACTGTTTATGGTTATTATCCTTATTTGTCCCTTACATTTTTTTAGTTTTACTAATCTGTATTAGGGAAATAATTTTTTTATGCCTATCCTTGTCTTGCTGGAGTATATATGCTTTGAAGTTAAAAAATCTTCTTTCATTTTTTCTAATTGGTCTGCTCTAGGCTTGGAGTGTGTATGGTGTTCTCAACTATCTGCAAGCACTTGTTGACAAGTCATCGATCATCGATATATTGGAGCGGGAGAAAGAGGGACTTGAAAATTTCACTGCAGATGATGGGTATGATTATAATGGTGGAAGTAATGTTTTGCGGGTATTGGGTTACTTCAGCATGGTGGGATTGCTTAGAGTTCACTGTCTGTTGGGGGATTACCACACTGGATTGAAATGCATGCTTCCAATTGACATTAGCCAGCATGGTGTATATACCACTGTAATTGGAAGCCACATCACTACTATCTATCATTATGGTTTTGCCAATCTTATGTTACGAAGGTATGTTTGCTTCTTTGCTTGCATGCATGTTTACTGAAGTATGTTTTTTTTTTAAATTTATTTTTTTATTTTTTTAATCTGCTGGGAACTTTTTCTTTGCAGATATGTTGTGGCCATTCGTGAATTTAATAAAATTCTATTGTATATCTACAAGACAAAACAGTATCATCAGAAATCTCCACAGTATGAGCAAATACTGAAAAAAAATGAGCAGATGTATGCTTTGCTGGCAATTTGTCTTTCACTATGCCCCCAGACCAAACTTGTTGAGGAAACTGTAAACTCTCAGCTTAGGGAGAAGTATGGTGAGAAGATGAGTAGGATGCAAAGATATGATGACGAGGCATTTGCTCTGTATGACGAGCTTTTCTCATATGCGTGTCCCAAATTTATTACTCCATCACCCCCTAACTTTGATGAGCCGTTAGTCAATTACAATCAGGTTTGTTAATTGCTTGAGTTACTTGCATTTATTTGATTGGTGCAGTACAGTGCAAGTACTTTGTTTTGGTGTTCTGGATTAAGGATGTTTACTAACATTTGTTGAACTGTGAGAGATAAGCCAGGAACCATTCTCTTCTGCAGGCTTGTACTATATATTTCTCTTGTTGCGTGCTTAATTAGTAAAAAGAGTGATGGTATTCGTCCTTGGAAACTGTTAGCTTCTGCCTAGGCATTTTTTTTTAAATGATAGATGATCTTTTTTTCGAGATACAACAAATGAAAATATTGTATGTAAATATCATGATGACTGCTATACAGTGCTTGAGATTTAGAGATCCATGGTCATCTTATAATCTATCTGATATTGTCCAATGCAGGATGCATACAGACTTCAACTGAAGCTTTTCCTTTATGAAGTGAAGCAACAACAATTGCTTTCTGGTGTTCGCACCTTTTTGAAGGTCTATTCTACCATATCTCTTGGGAAACTTGCTACATACATGGAAGTGGATGAAGCTACATTGAGGTTAGACTTTGTAAATGTTTTATTACTGTTGCTTGTGTTTGGATATTTCTTAACCTAGTGGTGACCTTATGCAATTTCAGGACTATTTTGATGACATACAAGCACAAGACACATACCGTTGATGCTGAGGGCAAGATCATATCTAATGCTGATATTGACTTCTATATTGATGATGTAAGTTCATTTGAATTTCTCAGGATAAATGTTTATGGTACAACATCTCTGCATATACTATCTGCTGTTTCTTACACATGCAATTGAAAGGTCTTGCTGCCTTTTCTATTGATTTGTTTTGGTTTAAACAAGTTTTAAAATCTTGACACAACTATTAAGGATTGGTTATTGCCACTTTTGTAACTGATGATCAACTGGAAACCGCAAAAAGTGTTTTTTCCCCTAATATTTTTTATTTTTTAAATAACCTTGCATATAATATTATGGAGAACATAAAATTGCAATGCTCATTTTATCATTATATACCAAACAGCTATATTTCTTTGTTTTACAGCAAGTATTAATGTTTCTGTTGTAATTTTCGATAGAATTGAAATTGATTTGGTGATGTTTCAGGATATGGTCCATATTGTTGAATCAAAGCCACCCAAGCGATATGGTGATTACTTTATGCGTCAAATTGCAAAGGTAAATTTTACCCGTATGGAGCTCAAAATTATAGTCCTTAGCAATTGTGTTGTGAGTTTCTTGATTCAAAGCTGATACAATTATTTCATTGTCTGCAGCTTGAAGGCGTGATGAATGATATGGACAGGATAAAGTTGGAGTAGATAACAATTTTGTTTAATCTGTAGAATTTATTTCATGCCTGTTCCTTTTGCTCGTATTTTATGACGCTGTGATGCTTACAGTGTACCTTTTTGTTTATGGATGTATTATTTTCCCCTCCAGTCTCGAAATCTAGTTAGATGGAAAGTTGGCTTTTGTGAGATGGAATCTATATTTTAGAAGGGAAAAATAGTTCTGATCTCAAGCAATTTTGACTCATGTGCAAGTGTAATGCCTTACTGATGCTTTTTGTTTGAAAGTGTACATTTACAACATGACAGATCTAACTCCATATATGTTGGTCTTAAATTTCTAATCTAATGGCCAATTTTGCACTTTTAGAAAGGGAAAGAGAACAATCTTGTGAGGGATTGAGATAATGTGACAATAGGTGGGGCGTAATATTTTACATTAACTGAATTGTACTCTTCTTTTTTTTTTTTTTAGGCGAAGAATCAGCGATAGGCAGTAAATGGTGGTGAAGCAGACATGGTTGTTTTAGGGCATTGGATTGTGGGGATAAAATTTGGAGGACGCCCAAACATACAAATGCCACTGAATTTGACCAATTAAAGATGACAGTAAACCTAAATTTTATTTACGTAGTGTGACCCTCTCTAGTTATACTGTAACATTTTAGTCAGACCAAATCCATTTTATAATACACGTAAGTATTTCAATAAGGCTAAGGGGCTAAATCTCCTATTGCCAGATGACTTCTCCTGTATGGCTGTATCTAATAGTTATATTGTTTCGAACTTTTAGATGACAAGATGTGTTGAACATGACTTCATATTTTATGTTGGGGTGACTATTGATCGAATTATTGAGAAGTGGCACGTAACAAGTTTCATGGTCATTGAGATTAGTTATTATTCAAGGTAGCTAGAGTAAGCAGACTAGGAGCAACAACTGTTTAGATGCAACATATACCCTATTTTGAATAACACAAGCAATGTTAGCTAGTTATTCTAAATTTTAAAGCTACGCCTTTTTTTTTTGAATAGAGCTACACTTGTTTAATATACTACTTTCGTTTCATACTATATTTGCAACTTTCATTTAGGATATTATTTGTGAGATATAAAATATTCTAAAGTTACAAATAACATAAAACGGAGGTAGTAATAAGATGAAGTGATAGGAAAGTAAGGATCAAATCTAGGTCATGAAATCTTAAGCTCATTATATTTAGAAAAATTATAAGTTGATTTTGTTGTTTGGAGGGACCTTGAGCTCGGGATCTGACAATAATTGATTTTTTTCTTCGACGTTGACCTCTCATGTGACCTTAAAAAATGACCATTTTTTTTCTTCATGATTTCCCACTTTGATGTGTCATTTGGGGATATTTTTCTCAATCTAAAATTATTTTCTCCAAAATTAATTCAAGATTTCATTTTTAAAATTCAAAATTATATTTAAAATTGATTTTGAATTTTAAAATGGAATCTTGAATTAATTTTGGAGAAAATAATTTTAGATTGAGAAAAATATCTGGAAAACTAAACTTTTGAGAAGATTTGACAATTAATTTTAGATAATAGGGAGTATCTTTTCTAAAATTAAGGGAATGAAGCTCGAGTTCTTTCTATTATACTGATGTTCTTTTATGTGAGCATGTTCATTGCAACATATCTTGATGTACTATGTGTACATGTTCATTGCAACATATCTTGATGTTCTTTTTGTGACCGGTGTACCATGTACATATCAGGCATTAAATAAATTCAAATCAGGTCATAAACATTTAGATCTGCAAGAACTTTTAATTATCATTTACTTATTATTAAATATCCCAAATTGTGTATTAAAAAATTACAAAAATTACATATTTGAAAAGTATATGATGGGACGAATCTAATAAATTCTAATTTGATAATGTTTTTCTGTATAGATTAGTATTAAATTGCGGTTAATGTTTAATCTAATTGATGAATCAGATGAGACCAAACAAGACCAAATAATTAAAATTCAGATGAGAACATATCCGACCTTGCATGTTAAAATCAGATCATATCTCCTTATTTCATGTGAAGCGGTGAAGAGAATAGGTGGTCATAATTTAAAATCGTTTGCAAGTTGCACCTAAAAATCTCTTGCAAGTTGCACACTTAAACAATAAACCCTACACATACACTTGCTCTTACAAGATGGACCAACAACCGTAGCACAAGTATTAATTTTGTATCTATCCAAGTAATCCATGTTATCTACGTATCTTAACTTGAATGTATGGTTGCTAGTTGCTAGCCTTCCCAATTCAATGAGGCTATAAATAAGGCATTTGCTCTAACTCAATCCTCACCCATTACCCAAACATCAAACAAACAAACACACCCTTTTTCTTGAAAATGCATTTCTCAACCTTTGCATGGGTTTTCATCCTTGCCCTAATGTCCTCAATGATCACGAGCTCGGTCTTTGTCTCAGGTGCTCGGTCACTAGCATCGGAGTCTGAGCATAAGACCGGTCTTACAGTCGCTAAGACTCCTACCTATGATCGCACGAATCCAACCCCTTCTAACTTTAACCAACAAGCTATCCCTTTTTCGCCCTGGATTGGACGAGCTGGACGTGCTGGAGTCCACGAGGCACCACATATCATCGGACATTTTGTACCACCTAGTCCTGATTACTACAAGAATATCGAAACTAAAAGTAATGAACGTGATAATCACAAGGCAGGCCTTACAGTCGCTAAGAAACCAACCCCTTCTGCTAACTTTTACCAACAAGCTATGGCTAATGGGCGGCCTTGGTTTAACGAACGTGATAATCACAAGGCTGTAGGGTCAAGAATGTGAATCCTTAGTTTGTGTATTACGTATAAGGGTATATTTATACAACCTAAGATCGGGCTAAAACATAAGCCCAATAGAACCTAAAATATACAGCAGTTTCCACCATCAATTGCACCTTAAAAGCGTATCATTTCATTTGCCCGCTTAGCTTATATACCTTATTGTATGCGCTAAAATACTACTCGTATTGTATGATGTGCTCAACTTTTACTACATTATTGTCTGTATAGATGGAGTATACAGACTAGCTAGTTAATGAATTACCTCCTATGTTGATTAACTAGTTTGTGATGTCATTGTATTTTATTGCTTGAGGCTAAAGTGAGGTTTTAAGGTGTCTTCTAATGTCTTTGTCTCAGGTGCTCGATCACTAGTATCGGAGTCTGAGCATATGTCCTGTGTTTTTTCTGTGAAACTATACATATGGATGTTTCTACGGTGTCATTTTTCAAAAAATGACACCATAACATGCTGATGTGTCATGTTATGATTGGTCCAATTTTGATTTATTTTTAAAAGCCTAGATATACTATACATGTATTTTTTGTAAAGAATATGTAATTATAGCTTTTTAAAATCTATTTTTTTTCATCTTATTAAACTCATTTTCCAAAATTAAATTATAATTAAAATCTAGAAATTAAAAAAATCATCATTGTTCATCATCAACCATCATTCATGATAGTTATCAACCACTCCCATGATCTTGTATAATCTATTCACAACGAAGATCAAAATTCTGACCAAAATTCCGTCTAAATTCGTTTACAAATTATGTTTTAGGGTTCGATTGATAATTTTGATTAATGTAAAAATCACATTGTTTGATAGTTTTGAGGATGAAAAAAGCATTAGGAATGTTGATAGGGTCATAAAAGTATGATATTACATTTATTAAGCTCTTGATATTATAATTAAAATTTCATTGTTTAAGGGTGTTTTATTTAATATTCTTCCATAGACACGAGTTACTACTATTTTATTTATTTATTTATAGGAAAGAGAATTTTGACATCAAAATGGATTCAATTGCTGCTCGGGATTCAAGGAAACGAAACCCCACAAATTGGGATTACTCATTGTTTCGGGTGAAAACAATGGGACCTTGCCGAAGGTCCGCTGAAATGGAGAAGGCTGGATTCGGTCCAAGTTATGTTGGGCCCAAGGTTTCCTGCACAGTAAACACACGTAAACTAGCCTCGGGGGTGTTGCCGAGGAAGGCCCCTCCGATGCTAAAGTCAGTACAATGTGTAAGAAGAGGACACTATGCAAGAGAGTTTGTTGCTTGAGGCTTTTATGGAATATATCAGAATATATGAATGAACATATGAATCTATGAATGAATCAGAATCCCCTCATGAATGAATCAATATGATGGCTTTTATACCTCATCATACATGGAGAGGTTGGGCCTTAGCCCAATTGGCTTGCTTTGTGGGCTGACCTTTGACTTTAGCACAATTGGAGAGTTGAACCTTGACCTTGGGCTTTTAATTGGATCATTTAGTGCTTAGGCCCAATTGGACTAAATTGGACCCAAACAACTTGCCCCCCAGACCCGATTTGGAAGGATGACGGGTCGGGTTTGATTTAATTCAGAAAAGGAGGGAAGTAAATGATTTAATTAATCCAAAAATTTGAATTTAAACCGTAATTAATGAGATAACAACGGTTTAGGCGGTTGATTGTGGAAGTTGGACGGATAATGGGCAGTTTAATCACAAGATCATGTGTTTAACGGTTACTTAGTGGAGTATTTAAGAGAAATTAAAACGCAGACTCCTCGTATCCCATACCTGGAGATATAAACAGAGGCGCGTCATCTCTCCTCACTTATTCACCAACACAAACCCAGAATTCTCGAGAGAGAAACCAAGAACCCGCATCAAAACTTCGCAAATTCCCCGAGCATTAAGCTTAGAAACTGAGACTTGCCGCTACGAACTCGTAAATCGGCAACTTTCGCTTCAGATTAAGGTAAATTCCTTTGATTTCAGTTTATTTTTCTTCGAATTCGAACTCCTTCCCCTTTTCTTTCGACTTTTTTCTTCGAAATAATCAATGGCAAGAGGAGTTAGAGGTAGAGCCCGTGCTCCAAGAAGAGCAAGGCCGATTCCCGATCCTAGGAACAGGATTGGGACCTGGAATGGACAAAGGCCAGAGTCTGACCCTGCTGAAGGGATTAGGGCGACTCCCCTTTCCTCGGCTCCTCCTCAGAGAACGGAGGAGCCGAGCGCTTCTGGACGGGATGATGAAGTTCCCGCTGTCCTTTGGGATATCCTCCCCGGGTTTTCAGAATGGGAGAATGCCGAAGTTGCTTCGGCCATGATAAAGAACCGCCCCTACCCATGGTGGGTGGAGAATGCCGATCAATATCGATTTGCCGAGCAAATTGAGTTGCATTACGGCATTTTTGAAGCTGATGGGTATTGGTGCCGAATGCCCTCGGCATCCGATAGAATCCATCGTCCACCCCCGGGGTATGTGGGG